TCACTTTTTATAATGAGCCACAGCCTCGTTAGATTTCCTTTTCCTGTAGATCATAATGGAGTCGTCACAGTTTTTCACCTCCCCACAGCTATGTTCTCCTGTGGAGGCGATGCTAGGCGGTTAGAATTTACCACTTGATGAGTTTTGCTCTGAGCACTCTGGCAAAGTTGGACAATTATTTTTGAATCCCTGGGCTCTTTGTGTAGCAAATGTGATGGAAAAGGCCAATTATGGAGCTCGATTTATTAAAATGTTACAAAGCAGTGTTTGCGATGTTGCTGGAAACGTCGTTAGGAAACATAGGAAATGGTTAAAAATGACTGACACATGTGGCTAAGGTCAAGAAAGTAGTTTGTAACCAATTAATACGTTCATTTATTGCACCAAATTGCAGTTAACCAAAATGTTACTAAATGTTTACAGTGTCAGCGCTTCTACTGCCGGCCTCTCCGTATCCCAGCTGGAATTCCAGTAGCCTTCTCCTCTGTTTCTGAGGTACGGAGAAAAAATTCCAGTCAGATCCCGTGCCGCTTGCCAAAAACACTGCTCATCCAAAGTCATTTGCAGCAAAGTCCATTATCATCATCACTTGTGGTGATGAATTCCCTATGATGGTGGCAGGCCCGCAGCAGCCTCCACTCATAATGACATTCTGCTCTTGTTGGCAGTCACTCCCCGTCAGATGGCTCATTCCCAACAGCCAGCATGTCAGACAGTGCACACACACAATACTGGGTTGGGCCTTTACACCGTAAATGAGGGACAACAGGACTGTTGCTTGAAAGGCAGACTTCATTTCTGGTGTTCTATTCTAGTCAGCATGTTGTTTTTAATGTAAACATCTGTTACATCCTGCTATAAATATGTTTAGCTCTTTTGGATTTGGGGGGCTTTTACACTTGTTTATGTAAAAATACAGCAATGGGCAAGTATTAAAGGAGCTACCTATACATAGGGCGAGAGACGGGGTACACCCTGGGCAAGTCGGCAATCCATCACGAGACCAAAGGTATATCAGGACACTGCCACTGTTTTCAGTGCTGTTGTTCCATTTTCTTTCCATTCTGAAAGGAACCCCAAATATAAAAATTCTATGTATTTCAAACTGGGGCGTGATTATGGCAGACCTGTTAAACTCACAGGTGGATGCTTCATAGAAGGCTACTTGACAGTCTGAAGCATAAAGAGAGGCAGCGTGGAGGTAAAAGGGAGAGACGGCGATGAGCTTCCCTGATTTCACTGATAGACTAAATTAAGGTCGATGCCCCATGAAGAGAAATGGTAGAGGTTCTGCAAAGCCAATAATATTTAAAGCACCATGCGACTAAGTCATCACTTTAGAAATAAAACAGCTCCGTGGTCACAGCGAGTCTGCTCACTCTGGCAGCACAACAACTCAGGCAAAGACGTGGAACCAGCTGCTGACTGGCTCCCTCCAAAGAGAAATACTCAGAAAGCACATCTTTAAGCTGAGGCCTTATGCAATCACATTTCTAAGTATCTACAAAACTGGGTCCTCAAAGGTGTGTGAGCACACGATGGTTATTCCTGAATATACATTGTGGATTGTTATTAAAAAGTGAGTCTGCTAATTATTGTTAAGTAAAAAAACAAGAATCTGAATCACTCCAAATTAATCACAAAATCTTGCATGGGCTGTACCACACACACACCAAAGCATAATATCTGTGAGGTATACCTGTATCATTACACCTACATATAAAATCACCTGCTCTCCAGCTGTTATGAAGATGGGAACATGTTGGGCTGTAACAACTGTGAATGTGGACATTTTAACATGAAAAAAAACATTAGGGGGAGTTACTCGCCTTTTGAGTCAGCCTCGTGTGTTCATTGGAAGAACTGCAGTTTTTGGGACTTGCACAGCGGCTTCATTTTTCAGCCCTGAACTTTGCCACTTGCCTGTAACATACAGTTAATGTGTAATGCCCACGACCTCAAATTAACTGAGCGTGATTAAAGTGTGCAATATGATGAGAAGAAATTATAGTCCCCTTCCCTCTTTGGAGTGATAATAACTGAGATCGAATCATAAAGGTCATGAGCACAATGAGTTCTGGGACCACCCCTTTCTTCAAAGAACATAAAAAATGTGCAACAGCATATTTGCACATCAAATGCCAAGAGCATATAAGTCAAAATAAAAATAATAGAAAAGAATTGTTTGTTTCATGGGTTTTTGTAAACGTGTTCCTTGTTCTGTTGTTGGCGACTGTGTGGTGAATTTTAAGAGGTCTGTGGTAGTGAGCGCTCCGTTTATACTTTCATTTACTAAATTTTTTTTTTTTTTTTTTTTTTTTTAAGAAATAGGACAGGGGGAATGAATGAGAGAAAGAGGGGGAGAGAAAGAAAGAAAACCAAAGGGGAGAAGAGACGGTGAGAAGGGGGGGAGAAAAAAAAACAAAAAAAAAACAACTCCTGGGTCACCTGTATGGAGAAAAAAACAAAAAAAACAAACAACAAAAAAAACAAACAGAGGAGACAGCAAACAACAAAGAGCAACATAATAATAGAGAAAACAAAGCACCATCACAATAAACTAGCTAGTCATAGATATCAATAGTTACTGAATAATAAACGATATTGTGCAGCACGCAAGATAGACAGCGCACAGTGTGCTTTGAGGCAGCAGCCAAGAAAGCTTTAGTCCGCGTCTGTGAATACCCATGTCTACACCTGTGTGCATACCTGTGTGGATCAGCATGCTTGCATTCCAAAGGTTTCTCCATGTAATGATCTGCTAGGGAGTGTGGGGGGGCCACAGCCCCGTCCTCCAGGGTGTGAAGCGGGTATGGAGGAGATCAAAACTCCAGACATCCAGAGGCCCCCAGAACACAAGAGACCAAGGAAGACCAACAGAGGGGCAGCCGCGCCACTGTTCCAGTAAGAGCTGAGGAGAGTCCCAGATGAGGGCTCGCCCAGCAGCCGCGGAGCAGAAGCCAGGGGGAGTTGCAGTGACGCGCCCGTGAGCTCCGCCGGCCCCCAGCTGTGCCTGAGTGACCGAGCCCCAGGCCGAGAGGCCGGGGGCACCCCACCTCCAAAGGGGCCCGAGCGAGCCCCAGGCCCCAGGCCCCGACAAGCGGCCGCCAAGGAGTGAGCCGGTGTGTACCCGGACGCCCACCCCCAGACACAAAGAACCACCAACACACCGACACCTGAGGGAGTCCGCCATTACTAAATTGATGTGTTATTATCAGAGATGGGATGGGTAATCGATTACTTTTTTCAAGTAACGAGTAAAGTAAGGGATTACTATTGCAAAAACGGTAATTAGATTACCGTTACTTTCCCGTAGGAACGCTGCGTTACTGCGTTACTAAAACCGTGATTTTTTTGCAAGAATGTCTCATGACAGTGACGTAAGCGAGTGCGACGTTCGTGACAACAGCTGTGTGCAGATCAACAATGGATCAATATCGAGTGTGGAGAGAGTATGAGCGTGCAGCGTTTAAAGCGTGGAAGTACTGACCTTACTTTGAGTTTGATTCCATAAAAAGTGACAAAAACATTAGTGTCCGCTGTGCGTGGGAAGAAAACTTCTTTTTACAGCGAAAAAACCCCTAAACTTCCAACAAGCACCGAGTAGCTACGACGTAATGGGAAACTCACAGAGAAACTCGCGGATTCTTCCACTGACCGCGGCACACCTGCACCAGGGTAAACCTCCGCCTACCCCACTCCTGCTTTACAGGTGAAAATAGAGCAACAGGACCGCTGAGTCTTTGACTTTATTTATTTTCTGCTGTGTTTTACTTGCATCTATTTGAAAGAGTGAGTGTAAACACAAAAAATATTTTATTTTATGTGCTGGAATGTGCAGAAAATAGGTTTAAATGTTAAACTAATTTCTTCCAGTCAGAGAATGTTGCATATAATTAAATTTTTGCTTGATGCATAAAGTTAAAAGATTAAAACTAATAAAACAAGTTTTAAAAAGAGACTTTTCCATTTGATTACATTTTGTATGATGGATTATGCAGTAAAAGTAGAATTGGGCTGAAAGATCTATCGCTTTATCACCTATTCAGGTTGTAAATCGTGTTTTTAAAAAGTAACTAAGTAACTAAGTAATTAATTACTTTTGAAAATAAGTAATCAGTAAAGTAACGGGATTACTTTTTTGGGGAAGTAATCAGTAATTAGTTACTGATTACTTTTTTCAAGTAACTTGACGAACACTGGTTATTATCAAGAATTTGCTTTGAATTTCTCAATTCAAACAATTAACCGTGTGTTAAGCGTTTGAATTATAGTTGTTACATTTACATTTGTTTATGTATTTAACATTTCTGATGTAATCAGTAACATTGATAAAAACACCAAAATAGAATCTTAAAAAGGTACTTTGTTAGGTCAATTAAAAAAAAAAGATCAAAATGAACTAAATACTGTCTACAAGAAATGACAATGTTGTCTTTGATTCTATTGTTGCAGCAGGGGTCAACCCCCCTTAGGTGGTCTGGGGACCGCGCTAGTATTACAGTAGAGGCAGCTTTTGGGCTATTGGCCCTCCTTCTGGAGAACTTTAATCGGTGCTCTTGGAATGATGCCTGACCTTCATTTACATGTCAGAAATATGCATATCATGGTGCTTAAGTTCTTTAAACTGGCTTTGTGGTAGTTGCTGGTAGAGTACATGTCACCAGGACCACACACATAAACACATACAGACAGAGTTACAAGGTGAGAACAATACCAGCCGCGCTGTCATGAACGGTAAAGATTGAATTGTAAGATACAATAGGAAACCCTGAGAGGTGCAAAGCAAGATGGCTGAAGGTGACTCTAAGCCTGAGCTTATCGGGGGATTCAGTAAACAAGAGGCCTGGCAAGCATTGCACTCGGCTGTTGACAACCGGTGATGGTGACCAGGTGGGATATGTTATCCTAACAGTCTGGAACTCTTGTGAATTATTTGCTGATAGATATAAACAGCTGTTATTCTTGGTAATGGAAAGCAATTAGAAACATCTGCATACTTGGCTGTGAGCGATGCCTCCGAATGGCGGCCGTTGCTCCCAGGTGCCGCTGGGAAATAATTACATCATCGGGACGGGGGCCGGGGCTGCTGAGGACTGCTAGTGATCTGTGAAGAGCGAGGAAGAGAGCCCAAAGAGGGACACACACAAAAAATTATATTAGTCAAACTTTTAAAGATGTGCAAGTTTGATCATTCTTTTCGCTTAAAGTCACAGACCAGTCAGCAGTTAACCTTCTTTATTTCATTCATTTAATTTGGGGATGACTGATGCTAGTAGTGAGAACAAAAAGTGTTAGCCACATCACCTGTTCTGCTTTTGTACTGTGTAGGGAAGTATTGAAACACCCCAAAAATAACCTCTGCAACAATATATGACACACATTCTTACTTATCCTCATAAGGCTAACAGAGGTTACTGTGTGAAAGTGGCAGGAAGGATGAAGTCACTCCCCAAGACATTTTGAACAGCCCACTGCTCAACCGGCCAAAAGGATTTTAGATGATTCTTTCCATGTGCTGAACTCTGAGTATCTGGTAATGAACTCCTGGAGATATAGGCTCCCTTTGTGTAAGCTTAAGCATTTAAACATTCATTTTTCAGTAAAAATGAACAGTTAATACAGGATAGACACAGCAGTAGAGGCGCTGATGTAACTGCACTTTTTTTTCTTTTAATTTTAGGTTTGTACTTAAAAACTAGACTTAAAGTATACTGCAAAAAAGATGGGTGCTCAAAAATGCTTAAGGAATAAAAATATCTCCAAATGATCTTCATATCCTACATGTTATTTAGTGACAAAATGAATTGAGACAGCACTGGCAGTGTCTGCACGACAGGTGCAACCTGACAAACCTGATCAACATTTCTCAGAGAGCATCTGCAGCCACATCGTTTCATAACCAACCTTAAAGATAGGCGCAAATGAAAAAGTTATACATTTTGGACTCACAAAGACTTGGGGATGATCCAAAATATTCTCACTTTGTAAAGCTGTCCTCTCACCAAATGTCTGAAATTCGGTCTTCGTTGGACAGAAGCACAAGTACACGAGCACACTTATAAACACATACACCCACAGATGAAGACAGCAGACATTTGTTATGGTGATAATTAATTCTGTTTTCCCAGCAACATAAAAGATCTCTATCTTTCTGATATTTTCTTGAGTTTGAAGTTGAGCTGAATGTTGCCAAGTGAAACTCTTCGACACTCTGGAACTCCAGAGGCGTTGGCCGACACCATGACACATGGAGTATGAAACATATGTGAGAATACACAAACAAACAAATCAGCCTAAAATAATGACTTTAACTTGTTTAATTACATGTAAATGTTTCATGTCGTTCTGTTACATAAATACAATGTAAAATATTGCATTTAAGGGAATCTGGTCAAATCAAATTTGACTGCTGTACATTCACAGTTCACAAGTACATTCTCCTTAATGACTAATTATCTGAATAAATAAACCTTTCATTACTTTATACTTCAGTTACATTTTATTCAAAATTACTGCTTCATGTTTATTGAGGGTGAAACCATCGTTTTTTAGTGTGCCCAGCGTGCAACATCCTGAAAATGTCAAATAGTTTAAAACTAGATCATCTTTATTGTCCTCAATGTATTAAGAGCAAGCCAATCAAATCTGGAGACTGGTTTTACCTTTTTACTGATGATTTTTAATCCATTTAGGAGAAACATTACATACTGTATCTGTTTTTGATCAACATCTGAGCTAGATTCCCGTTCTCTTATTTTGAAAGTTCAGTTGCTACCGAGCAGCTAGCCTCAGTGCTTCCTATCTCAGGTCTCTGGCTTGCAAGCTAGGTTTATATTGTGATGGTTTTCAAATTCATTCACCTGCGTTTTCAGAGAATATCTCATCAGTTAGCCGGCTAGACTTCCACTCCGCTGCCTTGGACTGTGCCTCACAACGGCCTTGCTGCTCTGCAGACCTGGGATTGTTAGGCCTCCTCTAAGTCTACAGCAGCAGAAGAACTGGTTCAGGTGTCACTGCTTTGTAAGCCTTACTTGCAAAACTATGAGAGAATGAGGTCCATAGCAAACACCTCCAGCTAGCCTCACAAGTCTGCCACAACTATGCAAATTTATTTGAGGTGCATTTATTTGAGGTGAGGGATAATCTTCAAAGAATAGTCCAACAACAAATAGTATTTGTGATTGATGCACCTGAAATTAGCTCCTTCCCCTGTTTTGCAGAGTATATCATTGTGCACATATCTCCACCACAAACAATCTAAATCTGTGAGAAACACTGATTTTGTTTTTGATGACCTCACAAACCAGTCCAAACTGGGTTTCCTTGTTCTACCTGTTTCTTGGACATGCAACTAAGGTCTTTATATCAGATGACATGTGAGGTCACTGATATTGGCAATATGCTCTTGACTGTAATTATGCAGAAATATTTTCTTCAGGCTTGGAGACTGGGTGTCTTGTCAGCTTTGGTATCCACAGGCAATTATGGTCCCATCTATAAAAATACCATCTCCCCAACACCTTTAGCACTCAAGCAGCCCCATATCCTCACACTCCTACCTCCAGGACTATGCCTTCTCTGTGGTAGTCCTGGCCAGGTTCACGGCAAACATGCTGGACTCCATCTGAGGCAAACAAATTTATCTCTGTCTCATCTGACTGGAAATGTGCTAGCAATGTGGTGTTTGCTATTCTTCTGCAAAGTTTAATTTAATTTTACACCAAGAAGTGCACACCTTAGTATCCTTTGGAGTCTTTGTGAAGTTGATTTTTTACGAAAACACTTGTTTTTGTAAACTGTTTAAAAAAAATAAAAATAAATCATTTTTTTAATGCTAAAGAAAATATGATCATTTTGACAAGATGGTTAGAAGCTGAATACTAAACCAAAAGTCAATACTGGCTTGTTAATACTCCACAGTATTAAGTTTAGCCTATGTTTATCTTATATAAGAAGTCTATTGTTCCAGAGACTGTGCATCTGTCACAGGACAGAACCAGAGAATAATTGTTCCTCTCTGGTACTTCAGTAAATCTAGTTAACATTTTCTGCTACTACATGACATGCACCTCTTTCACCCATAATCACTAGGCCCTTTACTGAAAATCTCTTACAGATATGCAGTCAGTCACGCCACAGTGTCTTCCTCTAATTGTGTTGTGTATGGAGTCGCTGACCTTCTGCACCAACGTCCCCTTTTCTCTAAACAATACTGAAGCTGTGAGAACCCCGACTGTGCGATGCCTCTGAATTTACCCCTGCTAAAGCATGACTGTGACTCTCCACATAGATCAACGTACAGGCCCCCACTGAGCGTGCTCATCAGCTGTAAATACCAGCAGTCTGTGCTGCCGTGGTGAAATGAGCAGTCTGGGGGATCTGACCATGTTGTGAGGTGGCAGGTTGGGCCCGACTGTTAAAGAGTGTGTCCTGTAAGCAGAAGGTCACAGGCCTGATTGGCTCTGCAGGCAATGAGTCCTGACTGGATGTCCTTGAGCAGCATAATGACCCCTGAGGTGGCCCTAACGAGACTTTGTTCCCAATAGCAAATTTTCTGCAACACTGCAATTACACTTTTTTTTTCCAAATGTAATTATATGTCTAGGTATATATGCATGCATTATTCTGTTTAGCAAAAGAAAATAAAAAGATTAACAAAAAGATTCCAAAAAAAACCCCAAAACTCAAAAAATCTTGCTCATTTCATCTCGCGGGAGAGTGATGAAAAACTGCTAAAATAAAGCAGATGGATGAGCAGGAGTCACCCACAAGCTTAAAAATGTTTTCCAAATTCAGCTTATCCACAAACCTGTGAGCAGATAATGTCCAGTCTGGTGGTGAAATATCACTTTGAACAAGATCTACACGAAAACAACACAGCAAAAAACAGACGGGGAAAAAATACTTTCAACTGCATTGTCTGTGAAGCAGACACGAGACAGAAGCAGCTCCAACACAAAACATTATGTTTGTGCCTTTGTTTCATTGGGCCTGTAATCCCTCGGGCAACAAACAGAAAATATCCGTCAGAACGGATGAACCTGCGGGCCGTGAGTCGCGGCTGTTGTGGTTGGATACGGTGATGCTGGCTGGCGTACCTGTCACAGAAAGCTGCAAGCGTGGTTCAAAAACGAGGTGGCTGGTGTCACACGAGTCTGCTGAGGGAGTCTGACGAATATGAGCACAGCAGCGCACACACAGCGAGTCTGTCAGCACTTTCTCCTCCTCACTTTTGTTTTCCCTGCTTTGTACTGTGTTTTGGTTACATGTGCCCTACTCCGTTTAACTGCAAATTATACTGTTAGATTCTTTTATTTGCTCTTTATTTTGTCAGCGTCGTTTTTGTTCTTACTGTTGAGGCAATGAATGGTCCTAAATGGCCGTTTACTTGAATGTCATGTTGAAATTGTATTAATTTTTCTCGTTTGTTTATATCTATAAAGGAAATGGAGAAACTCAAAAAAATAAAGGTTGAATCATTCATTGTCTTTGGTCGACAGGCATCGACAGGCCTACGCAATAGCATCTATGACATTCAGACAAATGCTCTACATGCTTCAAATGCAAGCAAGTTTTTGCTTTGTTTCTTTTTTAATTTAGGAAAGTGTGTATGTGCCTCCTTAAACATATGCATGCATATCCACAAGCACCACAAATTCCAAATTAAATCTGCAGCAAAAACTAGATTTGGGTTTTTAATGCATGTCATTGTGACGGGGCGTGGCCTGCGGTGCCGTGCAGAGAGCATCCGCAAGCCACGCCCCGCCACAGTCATCTTCATCCAAATTAAGATTAAGAAATTAAGAATATATTTTCTAAGAGGGGCCAGATAGGCAGGATGTGGACTCCAGGTCCAAACCAAGGGGATTCTTGGGTCAACTGAGGCAACAGTAGCTACTGCTCAGCACTCATTGAAAAATGTTATTACAATGCAGGTGAAGAAGCCAAAAAATCATGAATATCATTGATACTGGACAATCCAGAGATCAAACAATTTACATCCTTTGAGTCTTATTAATTTTTGTGTAACATAAACTTCAATCTTTTCCCAGTAAGGTGACCACTGGCACTGACAACATGTACACTGTTGGTGTACATGTTTCT